ATGATAATCAGGAGAACGCTTCCTTCTTTTTTTTAACCTACCTTTCTGTTTCCTACTTAATCTCTCACTCATCTGAACCCTAAAACAGTATGAAGCAATATTTCTAATTCCAGAAACATTCCTCAGCTTCCCTTTAATAACATGATAGCTTCAGACCACTTAATTACAGTGTAATTACTACTCTGTGGTGTGGCTGGCTAATAACAGGGTGTTTGTGGTTTATCGTAACAGGATTGTTCCCCTACGCTGGACTGCAGTACAGGTTACCCTTGGGGATCTCCTAAAGTTAATTACTTGCTAATCCACAGAAGCTTGTCGGTACACTATTGTTACATATCTGGACTTCTGAGGCCACCCAGTCATTTTTATTCATACAGCATTGGACAAACTAAATGGCTGTAAGGTTCATGGAAGGTTCATTGACTACCCAGAGAGCTCATGCAATGTCCAGCCCTTAAATCATGTGCAGTGCCCTTGGTTCCCAGCATCATGGCACTGCTCCCATGGAGGAAGCCTAGGCCAGGATACAGGAAACAGTGGGCAAGGTGGAGGTGGGTTGATGGAAGGACTTGATGATCTTAGAGGTCTTTTCCAACCTTAATGATTCTGTGATTCAATGATTCTCTTGTCAGTGCAGTTTATTAGTAGTAATCTTTCTGGTCCTCAGAAGTTACTCCACTTTGTTTCATGCCCTGAGCATGCTATGTGACTCAGAGAGCTCAGAAAGCTTGGGTTTGGGGGGTTTGGGATGGAATGACGTGTATGATAGCTAGAGATCTTAACCAAATTCTTAAGCAACCAGAAGTTCACGTAGGCACAGCCATTTGCTAAGTCTTTTATCTTTCTTAATCATTCTATAAATCTACAATTCAGTGACACCCATCTTGTCTTGAATTCTTACTCATGTAAAGATATTTTATTTTAAAAGGTTTTTTCTGTTGATCATTTGAAGGAGATGAAACACGCTCCAGAACATAACATAGTCACAAAGTCTCCACGCATCAGGTAGTCTTCTGCCCAACAAGAAAAAATCAATAGGTCCATAACATACTTGTCCTACTTAAAGCACCTAAATCCAACTGGATTTTTGCTTTCGGTCCACTTCAGCTGAATTTTATTCCCTGGAGGAATCCAGTACAAGATCCGTGCATCACCTGGATGCTCAGTAAGCTCTGCTTGGAACAGCTGAGTGGTACCGGTCTGGGATGGGATCCAATCTTAATCCCACACAGATGTGCTGAAGCTGAAATGAAAAGCATGAAAATGAAGCATTTTTGTCATTTTTCATGTATTTTCCCTTTTTCCCATCTTCAGTTCTCCCATGCTTGCTGCTTTTCTCTGTTGGATGGCCTTCTCTCATGTTTACAGCAGTTTGGTATTAGAATATTTCCAGACTACTAGTCTGGTCTCCCTTGGGATCAACACAGAAGAGTCTAGTATAGCTTATAGGCACAAGCAATAACACAAATACTGCAAAGTAATGCATTTAAGGGGCGACTAGATACTCTTTCCTTTACACTGACAGCTGCTTGAGGAAGAATGGATTCTATCTCAAGCTCAGCATTTCCAGAAAGCTTCGACAGGTATAAATGTGACATGATTTTTCAATAAACTTGTCCTTGTTTCAAATGGTTTGGGAAATCTCAGGTGAGGGTGCTCAGCCATAGCCACTTGTCATTGGCCTTGGAGTTGTTTGGAGTTCAGATAGAAGGTTGATGATACGAGAAAAATAATATGTAGAGCTGAGTGCTGTCCCACAGTAATTGATTTGTGTGCTAGCCTCTGGCTATATATTGATTCCATTGGAGCTTGTCCTGAGGGCCTTGGAGTTCTAGCATGCATTAGTCTGTCTGCATAGATGGGATTCATTTGATTACAGCTATCCCAGAGGCGGCTCCCAAGCCTGGAATGCAACACACTTCCCCACTGCCAACACCTCTACAAGCATGGAGTGGCCAGACAGCCAGGGTGTGTGAGATGCAGGCTGATCAGATTGTTGGAGGACACGGTGCAGGTGCTGCACATCATATTGAGCACCTTCTCCACCTGGCAGCAAATATGACTCAAAGCTTTTAAAGATACATTGCTTTCCCCAGTCAATCTCTTAAAAAAAGGAGAAGGAATCCTTCAAACATACAATGCTATCAGAAATACTTTTTTGCTCCAGACCAAAATAAATTGTTGTCTCTAGGAGAAATTTTGTTTCCTCAAACATGCTTGTTACCAGGAGATCCATTATTAATCTATCACGTGCTGTGTGGTGCGCTGTGTTCATGAAGATGATATCCCTCTGCTCAGTGCAGAAGCATCACCTTTTATTCGTAGAGATGAGGTCTCCTCATTTGCTTCAGGGCAGTAGCCAGTTGAATAATTTTGAACAGTCTGTTCTTAACAGAAGAGGCAAACCTTTCAAATCCCAGAGGACTCTTACAGTGTTTCCTCTTGAGTGTCTTTCCTCCATTGCTGTCCCAGCAGAAGGCCTTACGTGCCTCATGGCCACTTTGAGGAACTCCTGACCAGGGAAAGGAGTGAGTGCCTCCCTTCTGGATTCAGTTATGGGTGATACAGAAGCAATGCCTGTAGCTGCAACAGGCTGACACATCACCTTGCTTGTAATATCTTGTTGTGCTGGAACTGTTTTTTTTTTGCATAGCTTTGTTAACAGAGGAGCAGCTTAGAAAAAATGATATGATGGAAATTTTAGTAGCACCTAATATGGCTCCAATAATCCCTTTTATTTTGAAGCAAGTTGGCTTCTTATCCATGGGAATTTTCTTCTGGAAGTCTGAAAGCACAGCCTGGTCAATTCACAGATCAGAAGAGAGGCTGAATTTTTAGAAGTCCACTGTCTGCCTGAACAGTGGCATCTAAGCAGCACTGAGGGAGGAACAGTCAGCACATGAGAGACTGAGAAAGTCTGAAGCGTTGAGTAGCTGTGTACTTGAGATGCAGGGGCACAAGCAGATTCAAAGCCACTCTTAGGTTTGCAGGTAGAAGCAGGTATGTGCTTTCCAGCTGCTGCAGAGCTGCATAGTTTCTCTGCTGCCCAGGGAACCTGTAGCTAAGATCCAACACGTGAGCTGGCTGTGTCTGCTCTGTGGGACTGGGGAGACCTGAGAACCTGCAGTTCTACTGTAGGGTGCACCACAGGAAGGCTCAAGTTCTGTTTGCACTAACAAAAAACCGTGAGAATGTTCTGAATTGCATCCATTTGTAGCTGTATATACGAGAGCAGATCTGTCAGGAAGGAGCAAATGTTTAGGGAGTACACTGCCAAGAGCATAACCGTATAGATATTTGGATGAAATTTAATGTATCTCTATCTGCAGTTGTCACGGTGTCAGGTAAAACAGGTTGCATGATGGTAACATGCTCTAGAAAAATGTCAAGGTTAGCAGTGAAAACTGGAAGGCATAGAACAGGTGTAAGGTGTCCAGTTCTCTGCTGTCCACCACATTGAGTCCACGCTCCTGCAGCCCACAGGACGTGACTGTGAAATGCATGGTAGAGTTCTCCATTCGTTTTGCACAAACGTGAGATGTGAAGCAGAGATCAGCCTGGTTTTGTGGCCTTTAAGTTATACCAAATTTTATTAAAGAATCTTCAAAATCCCCTTAAAAAAAAAATCAAAACAAACAAACAAAACTACCCAACCAACAAACATCAGCACCGATTTGAAGAGAAGAACCTGCTTTAGCTGAAAAGTGTTTACGTGTTCCATAATGATTAGTGCTAATTTCCCTCCCGCACACTCAAGTTTTGAGCAGCATTGAAATAGCAAACCAATCTTCATGTGCAGCAAACAGCAATTTGTGTGGAAAATGTAACAAATCAATTTGGACATCTCCGAGCTGAAAATAATCTTGTCCGTATGGTGATTTGGAACAGAAGAGCTCACTTTTATGTGCAATGATAAGTATGGAGAGCTTTAATATTTATGTGGAAAAAAATTGTCTTTAAGTGAGGCTGGTACCAGGAAAATTAACAAAATTCAAGAATGGATTTTTTTTTCAGAAAAAAAAAAAAAAAAAAAAAAAAAAAGTTGCCTGTTCTGGACAACGGCGCTGTTGATTCATTAGACAAAGCCTGCTCTGCGTAGCAGTGTGTCTGCAAGATGAGCTGCAGTCGCAATTGTAACCAATTTGAATCTGAAAGCAGATGCTCCAGTTTGTGCTTTTTCTTTCTCTTTTTTTGGCATGCTTGTCGTTTCTAAAAATGCAGAACCACAGCAGAAGTGAAATTTGGAAGATCACAGACTCGAGGGAAGCTTCCAGTGCAATTTGCACTTTTAGATCTGCAAGGGATTCATTACCTTTGCCAGGGCAACTAATCACTTGCAGTATCAGTGGTACAGCTGCAAATCCGTGCTGCTAAGAGCAGTGCTTCACCATGCACATGCCGGCAGGAGGTGAGCAGGCCGTGCTGCCAGATGACATTGTGCATCCAAGACCAGACCTGAGGTCATGGGCAGGAGAGCTGTGCTTGCAGGCCCCGTGCAAGCGCCTGCACGTGTCTGCTGAGCGCGCTGCTTTGTGCGCAGCCCTGGGCACAGGGGCACATGTTGCCTGTAGAATGCGAATGAATGGTTATCAGGTTCACACGGTCGCTATGTGTTTTGGCCTGTCTGGAGTCAGGAGTTGTTTCAGAACAAGTGTACCTTTTTTTTTTTTTCTTTTTTTTTTTTTTTTTCCCTGCCTAACCTGTAAATTCCACATCGGGTACTAACAAACATGGCTCATCTCAAAAGAATTCATAATCAACTAAAAGAATTCATAATTAACTTCCACTGCAATTTGTTTGGGTCTTCCTTTACATAAGATATAAGCTCTGGTGGGAATTTAAAATGCTCTGAAGCATACACTGTGTTCTGTGTAACTGCTGCTGAGCCTACAGAGACGCTAACTGCTGTAACTGCACAGTGTGTTTGTGTATGAGAGATCTCTGACAGACCTGTTTTTCTTTTTCTCTTTCTCTTCCTTGTCTTCTTTCTGCATTGGCAGAGCATCTTGGATTTGAATTAAAGGGTATGGAACAACCATTCATTTATTAATCAGAAGCCATTAAGAGCTGCCCACATTATATTTATGGCTTTAATGGGATGATTAAAAAATCAGCTGTTCTGTTCTTTTCCCTGGCACCGAGACAGATATTTGGATTAAAAACCAAAACAAAGTAAAAATGCAAAGTCGAAATGTAAAATGATAAAAACGCAGGTGTATTTTTAGCAGCACTTTTTTCTTTGTTCCGAGCAGCAGCCAGGTGCGTGTGGCACGACTGAGATGTTCCAAACCATGGTCTCCTCATTGGACTTCTGTGCCTTTAACCAAAAGGCAAGAGTTTGTGTCAGTCCTAAAGGCTGCCAGCAGGCACCACTTGGGGACAGGCAGGGGAAGGCGAGTTTTAGGAAGTTTTAGGGCTTTTGCAGCGCTGCCGTTCTGTGCGCTAACATCCACTGTGTCCTATGAAGGGCCAGGAGGGGTTTTACCTCCTCCCAAAGGCCGTCTGCTGCCTTCTGTTCCTGACAGGAAGAAACTGACCCATGGAATGTGACGGGAGGTGAGCTCCTCTAGAAGACACTGAGCCCGGGGAAGTCAGTGTGATGCTGAGCTGGTGGCAAGCTAAAGCGTGCAAAAACACTGGCTTACAGCCTCTTGGAAACAGGCAACTGCCTGCTCCTACCCAATTGCTCACAGTCATAGTGTTTTTCCTCCTTTCTCCTAACTCTGTTTTCAGACGTGTATCAAATCTCTCTGGAGTAAGCACCTGGAAAATCAAATCCCTGGGTTAGGTTTCCCTGGGTGCTCAGACGAGTGTGGGAGGGGTTGCTCACCAAGAACAGAGAGGTTTGTCTTTATCACTTAGCTTAAAAAAATTGGCCCAGCAATGCCATCTGGAGCAGATCTTCTCATAAAGATACTTCAATTCAATTTGCTAGAGACATGGGGACACCAATATTTCTCTTCCGGATGCTAAATTGGCTTCTTGGGGCCCTGAGCTGGAGGGCCGTGCACAAGCTGAAGCTGGAGAAGTTGGTCTCTGCTGGCTTTTGCATGCCTTTCCCCCAGGGCTCGTGTGTATCGCCAGCAGCTTGTTCCTGCAGCAGAAAATGAATGCATTTTGTGTTTTCAGAGAAAGTGGTGCTGCTAATACTAATACACTTAAACAAATGTTAAAATTAAGGATTTTTGACATCCCTTTTTTGTTGACTTTTGTCCTTTTCCTCATCCATTCTCAATGTCATCACAGAACCGCACACATCCCGTTCCCAGTCTGCAGTCGTCTCTTCTCTGCCATTCGTCTCTCACTCTCATGCGTTGCTGTGAACCCATGGCTGGACTGTGATTCTGTCGACATTATGTGACACAACATGGTTTGTTCGTAGTGTTTGCTGCTGTAGAGTGACAATGCTGCTGATGAAGATGTGGCATTTTAGAGCACGCAGACACAAATGGACAAGTCCTGCTCCAGGATCTTACCTTCCCAAACACAGAATTGCAGAAAGCATTCTCCTATTTTCTGTGTCTTTGTCGAGATGATTTTATGCAGCACGAAGATACTATTTTACCAAGCATCAACTGTAATGAGATGTTAGGAGCTCAGCTAAATCACTGACAGCAGGTCATTTAATTTTTCATTTTTGCAGTAGTGATGCACAGCCTCCAGCTTCACTGCTTCACACAGCAGAGCTGTCAGCTCGGGGAAGAGCACCTGAGTCTGCATTTCTGATGAACTGAATTACTCCCCTTACAATGCAGGTGGGAGTTCAGGAGAGCCAGACATATAGAGTTCTGTGCCCACCTGACTGCCTGAACAGAGGCCAGGGTTTGAGCCTTGGATGAAATTTTTTTTAGGTAGCTAACAGGCTAAAATGCTTCATGGTTTTGATGGCTTTGCTCTCTTTGTCCCTCTCCCTTCCGTAATTCAAACAGAAGGATTTAAACTTGAAAAAAAAATGTCTTTATGGCAAGAGATGTAGCTGGTAAAGAGGCTTTGAAAATAATTGGATCCACGGATTGATCTATGGTGAAAAATGTCCTTCTCCCCCCCCTGTTTGTGGTAATTGGTGAAGAAATACAGTTGGGCAGCAGCTAAATTCTTGCCCAGTGCCATCTGTACCCAGGACATGACCCTATCTGGTTCTGATGCTAATAAAATCTCTGAGGTTCCTGTCTGAAGGAAATAGCTGTCCAGCTGTAAGCCAGGTCCCAGACCTGTGCAAGAGCAAGAAAACTTGTCTGCCATGGTTGCTGATGCCTGGAACAGGAAGGACCTCCCTGGTAGGAGCAGGTCCTGCACCATCCGTGCTCCGGCCTGAGGCAGTGCAGGTGGCTGCTGCAACTGCTGCAGCCCAGTCAGCTGCAGTCAAACAAGCTGTGTTCTGTCATTGCTCACAGCGGCTGCGGAGATGGAGTCTGGGGTCTGGCTGCCCACGTTCCTGGTGCACGGGGGGACGTGCTTCTGGGCGAGCTCCACCAGCACTCAGAGAGCCTGATCAAGCCAAAGGCCAGGGCACAGCCAAGAAGGGTGTACATTTATTTCTTTAAACTGTAGCTTTGCAACAGAGGCATGAAGCAAGCCCTCCTGATGATATTTTGCATCCTCACGTCAGGATGGTTATTTGCAGCCCCTGGTTTAGCAGTTCTTCCTTCATTTCCATTTTGAGTGCTAGACAAAGATAAGCATTTTTCTCAGCACTTTTTTATTTTATTTTATTTTATTTTATTTTATTTTATTTTATTTTATTTTGTTTTGTTTTGTTTTGTTTTGTTTTATTTTATTTCCAAAAAGCACTTTCCTTTCTAAATTGGAAATTTGAGATTAGTCGAAATATTTCTTTATCTGGAATACTTTGTTACTAATCCAATGGTATTTTTCTGGAGTCTGGCCCTACTTCTAGTTGATGCTAGCACCTGAAACCAGACCTGTTTCTCTTCTAGTTTTATATCTCATAGTTTTTGTAGCTCACGTATTCCATTGAAAGTATCTAGTGTGTGCCAGTGGAACACGCCGAGCACAGCAACCATGGCACAAGTTTTATTGCCTGATCAACATGGAAAAAAGAAAAATTCAGTGAATATTAGAGAAGACACAAGGCCCGGAGACTTTACAATTAACACATAGTATGGAGACACAAGCACATTGGCTGTAGGTGCTAAAATACAAGGCTCACGGCAGCTGTGGACTAGATCTTTCTCTTAGTCATTCACCAGACTGCCATTGCTAGTCTCAGTGAAGGTAGCTGGATTTTCTGAGAAGAACATCTGCTTTGGAGTAGCCATAGCCATGCAATTGCTGCGTAGGCGTGGTTCAGTCACACAGCAGGTGATATCCTGCCATTTCCTTGGAGCTTTGATTAACTGGAATGAATTACCTGCCTTTTAGCACGGTCTGGGTTCTGATGCAAATGACTGACTTTCCTGGTTTGAAAGGCAGTCCGTGACAAATAGCAGAATCTGAAAGAAGCAGCAGCGTGCTGCTTGAATTTTGTGTGTGCATCTGGGCTACCCAGTGCAATGGAATTAATCATTTCCTAGGGCTTCATTAAAAATCCACAACTGCAGTTGGTTACTGTATTTTAATTACTCCACTTCCTTTTCTTTGTCTAACGTGCTATCACTTTTCCATCTTCGTTCTGCTTTTTGACTCCTTTAGGATGTCCCTCCCAGCACCTGCATGCTTTGGGGCTGTTGCTCGGTGGTTGCAGCGCACTGCCGAACTCCGGAGCATGCAGCAGCTGCGAGGAAAAGGCATTCTGAGTCCGTCAGAGCAGAGAGCTGTGAGGAGAGCATCACAGGGATGTTTGGTATGTGGTGGCTGGGGGATGCTCGAGGGCTTCCTTCTTTTATACCAAGCTACTGAGAAAAGGTGATCTGCTGGAAAGGAAAGGAAACTCACGGGGCTCTCTGAGATTAGTCAGCGAGTTACGCTGTGGGAAAAGAAGAGAAAGCCAGAAGCGTGCTTGAGAAGGGCTGAGCTACTGAGGGCAAGGGTTGAGCTACAGAGAGACAAAAGGATTGAGGAGCTCTTGAGGGGTGAGCAAGGCTGGGCCAGCTGGCCTCAGGTTTGGGCAGCAGATCAGTAGGAGGTGTGGCTGAGTCCTACTCTCCATCTCACCCTCATGCAGTGCTGGGTCCTGTGCAGCCAGGTGCATTGTGGTGCTGTAGCCTGATTGCAACTGATTTCTTTCTCTCCATTTGCAGAGGCAGAGGAGCTCTACCAGAAAAGAGTTCTAACCATCACAGGAATCTGTGTTGCCTTGCTTGTGGTGGGCATCGTCTGTGTGGTAGCTTACTGTAAAACCAAGTGAGTATGTGTGGTTAACAAACAATAACCGGTGATCTCTGAGTGGCAGTGATTGTGTGTCATGCTTTCATGGTGTTCACCCAAATGCTGTTTTAAGGAGATGCTGTGCTGTGGTATTCCCAGCAAAGTCTCTGAAGGAGGCCGATGAAGCCATCAACCATCCTGTGTGAGCAGGAAGTTTCCCATTTCTTTATCGCCTGAATCAGTATCATGTATCCAAGCCAGGTGATGGCACGTGGCTGGGAGAAGCTGTCCCCTGAGCCAACAGAAGCACAGTGGGCTAATGCCCAGGAGCTGTGGGCTCACTTGTTTACAGTTCTGGAACTTCCAAAGCAATGATGATTGAGCAAGAGGCTTGGGGACCTCGTTCTTGGCAGCCTCCCCTGATCGAACAGCACCCTTCTCCCCATGTGCCCCTCACCTGTGTTTGGAATGTCCAACTATTACCCAGGACACAGGAAGCCTTGTGAAGTTGATGTCCTCCCAGGGAGGCTTTCCTGTATTGTGCTTAATGCAGGACAGGAGCCTTGCCACCAAGGGCAAGCCAGGACTGGTTCTCCTTTCTCTTCTCCCCACTTCTCTCCTCGGTGCCCAGCCCCACGCTCCCCCTGCCTCCACTGCATTGTCCTGGGGCTTGTCTTGCTTGTCTTGAAGACCATTGGACCCAACTATGTGAATTGCCTATAGCAGAAAACATTCACATTTCTTTGGAAAGGCAGCATAAGTGGCTAATGTTGAATGTCTTGCTTCCTTCTGTTCACAGCTGTCCACAAACACCGTCAAAACATGAAAAGTGTCTGAAAGATGAATGAAAACCTGGTTGCTACCTCCTTTATCATCTGCTTCCTCCAGAGACACTTGGGCCTCATGAGAGAAATCCTCCTAATTTACTTTTTTCCTTTCCTTTTTAAAGGAAGCAAAGAAAACAGATGCATAATCATTTACGACAGAACATGTGTCAAGCCCATCAGAACAGGAGCCTTGCAAATGGGCCAAGCCATCCGCGTTTGGATCCAGAGGAAATCCAAATGGCTGATGTAAGACCTTTCATAAGACCCTGTATTTTATTGAGTGCTCATTGTCTGTCATGGATTTGATGTGGATTTGCATGCTTGCACCTTCCTGTGCCTGTGCATGAGAAGCAAAATACAACTTGAACAAAAGCACGAAATTCTGCATAGAAACCTTTCCCAAAACAAAATCTAGAGGGAATTGCGATTTTACTTTGATACACTGAGCATGAGGTTAGGGCACTCAGGACAGGTGTGATCCTGGTGTCCTCTCTGGAAGGCACTCCCAATGTTTCCTGCTTATTACGCTGTCCTGTCGAGCTTCATTTCATGGCACAATAAACAGGGTTAGCACAGCAGAGGCTCAGCCACCACGGTGACTGTCTCACCCATTGTGGTGATCTGAACAGCTCCACGTCTGTCCACCTGTGCAGCCCAGCTGCTCCTTTGCAAGGTGGGACAACCCAGTGGGGTGCCAGTGTCGCTCTATTGAGACCCGTCTGAGTATTTAGGATTGGATCCAGGAAAGCCGTTCAGCCGCTCCTGAGATGTGAGAATCCCATTGAGCTCTGTGTTCCTGTTCTCAACATGCTTAAGTGCCTTGCTAGGACTAAAACATTGAACGGGATCAGAAAAAGGGAGAGGGAAGGCAAACCTGAAGCTGAAGGTGTATTCTTCCAGGATAAGGGTTTGCAGTTTCCCAGCTTCTGAATATTTGCTTTGGAAACTTCCTTTTGCCTTCTCTTAGTGTTTTCTGTGTGCAGAGGTTCATGTGCCATGCACAGGGGTGCACTGATTGCTGATAGAAAGCACAATCGTAGAATCACAGATTAGGGCTGGCAGGGTCCTGAACAATTGTCCTGCTGTGAGTAGGAACACCTCCACTAGCTCAGGCTGCCCTGGATCCCACCCAGCCTGGTTTAACTGCTGCCAGGGATGGAGCATCCACAACTTCCCTGGGCAGTGTGTGCCAAGACCTCACTGCTTCTGAGTAAAGAACATCTTCATATGTCTAAGCTAAATCTCCCCTCTTTACAAACCATTACCCTGTGTCCTATCACTACATGCCCTTGTAGAATCAGCGTCCTGAATGAGGTACAAGCTCTCCTGGGTCACTCTTGTGATGCAGACATTTAGCTAAGCGGATAGTTGGCCATGAAGGATGAGGGCAAGGAAAATTTAAAGAATCACAGCCATGTGAACCTGAAATACTGTCTCCCCCAGAGGCTTAGTCTCTCTGTGGAAAGCATGGCTGACCCTGCTTACTGTTAGGTGAAGGGATATTTCAGCATAAATATTTGTATTACACTTGGTATGTCAGTAGGACTTGTGTCTGTGACAGATTGCATGCGGTTGCCTTGTTGCTGGCACTCTGTCAGGTGCACAACCTCCTGCAAACAGATGGATTTCTGCTCAGCAGCATCAGCTGTATGTGCTCCCACAGCAATCTGGGGAAACCCTCGGCTCTTTGTAACCCTCTGCAGCCCCTGTATCATAGCTCCTTTCCAGTGTCCAAAGTGCAGAGGCAGAGGGGAGGGCACTGCATGACATTTTTCAGTTTCCTTTTCGCCTCCCTTGGGGCACGGAGCTGCAGAGTTCACTCAGTTCTCTGGTGATTTCACCAGAAGCAATCCAGCCAGCAGAACTTGGCTGTGGCAGTGCTGGCAAGCTATTGGCTGATCTATGTGGTTCTTCATATTTTACAGTATATTTCTAAGAATGTTTCTGCCACTGAACACGTCATCCGGAGGGAAACAGAGACAACTTTTTCAGGAAGTCACTCCTGCTCACCGTCACATCACTGCTCCACAGCCACTCCAACATCCAGCCAGAGGTGATGTATGCCATTCACACTGAACTGCTGCTTGCCTTAGGATGCTGTGAGATTCAAAGCCAGTAGAAGGGTTTCCTTTCACCTCTCTCTCTGATTTTACTTGATGTTTGGCATCACACCATCATACAGGCCATGCCAGTGCTTGCAGATCAGATTGTGTTGCTGGCATAACCAATTAGTGAGAGGTGCAGAAAGGTGTGGAAAGGTGCGATGCTTGATCTGCAGCAAAGAGCCAGCAGGAGTGCATAGCACTGAAATAGCTGGGAAGTAGGAGGAAATGAAGTAGTGCTTTCACGCCTTGCACAAGCTCAGTCAAATAGGAGGATGCATCTAGGAATGGTTTTGCAAGTTGTGACTGCAATTACACTGCATGCCTGTGTTAATTCGTTAAGTATGCACAGGTTATTAATATAATGTTTGAGATATTTAGCATCTGTTTGCCTTGTGCAAGGCAGAACATGACAAATATCACCATTCTTTAAAATTTATTTATTTTGCCTAGTTCTGCAAAGCTGAAAATGAAGTTTTCACCAGAAAAAAACAAACAAACAAACAAACAAAAAAACAAAAAAACCCACTAATTTTTCACATTCTAAAACAGCCATCCTGGGGGACAGCAGCAGCCTGGCTCAAAGGCCAAAGTTCTCACTGGATTTGAGTGCATTTGTATTGCAGATGGAACTTCTCCATTTTTGTGGTGCCCAGAAAAGTCCTTCAAATGCTCTAAGAAAGCCCTGTACTGTTTGAAGCTTGGTTGCTCAGGTTCTCCATCTTGCATTGCTCTTGTGCTTCCTCCAGTAAGCAGCAGTGTTACCCCATGAGAGTGCCTGCTTTTGAGAAATGACTGTGAGTGCAGGGGGTCCTATCTACCTCCTGTCAGTGGTCACACTGGATCCGCTGCATGAGCTTTGTCAAGCAAAAGATGTCGGGGCTTAGTTACTATTAGCCGGGGCTGTTTGTATCCACCTGTCCAGGAAGCAGACAGTCCTTCCAGGTAAAGCTCAAAGACGTGTCCCAGCAGATTTCTTCCAGGTTCAAGCACTTATTAGGTAGTGGAACAACTTCAGATATCAAACTTGGGTTTTCAGGTAAATTCCTCCCCAGATTCCAACTGACTTGACCTGCAGTGAGCAGAGAGGGAGCCAAGAATGACTTTTTGGGCTGGAAATGCCTGCCTTTAGCCAGGGAAATCTTACCCTTGGTGGGCAGATGGTGTCTTTTCCAGGCTCTTTTTTTTGAATTTTTACACTTCATTCCAAGCCTTGCTAGGTGTGTGCAGGCTTGAGCAATGTGTACAGAGGCTCCTTTTCCTGCAGAGCTGCACCTTGATGGCATTACAGTCTGACTTCAAAGTCCTCAGACCCCATGGCCACCTCTGGGCACATCTGAAGATGCAAATTTGTGTCTGAAGGGCAGCGTTAATACATGCCAGGTGTGGGAAGCACCTACCTTGCACAGCCTCTGGTCCTGGCTACCTGCCATATGAATTTTCGTGAGTCAAGTGCAGCAAGCAGGTGTTTCTTGAAGTCATGCCAGAGGCAAACTGCTGGCAGAATCAGGTTCCATTTTACTTGATCAGCTCATACTCTAATGAGGATGCTTTTTGAAGTTATAAATTAATGTCATGGTTGCAACCAAGCATGTGCCCAGAGCCATCAATAATTAACACGTTCTTGGGAAGTTTTAATGAGGCCTCTGTAAACCCCCACGCCAAACCCTCTGCCAGCACAGCTCCATCTGGTGCCATCTGGGAGTTAAGAGCTGTTGCTCCTGTGGGTTGTGTGTTTGTGCCACAGGAGAGCAGTCGGCCTGGTGGTGTGGGTACAGGACTCCATGCTCTCCCATTGTGTGGGATGTCATCTCTACACCAAGCCAAGCGCAGGGATACCTCCAAGTGCTGCCCAGCAGTACCCAGCACAGTGTAGTTTTTGTCTAGCTCCTTGAGCATGTGTTGCTGCCAAAGCCTTTTATAAATGAATGGTAATGCTTCTCTGTGTTGGTCACAATATAATTCTGAGCCTTTTCTTCTGACACTGTTCTGGTAGCATTTCAGAAGGATCTGTTTCTTGGCAGTGTGTGCAGTGGCATTTTTGAAGGTCCTCTGCAGACCTGTTTTGGCAAGGCCGGTGCATCGCTCTGCACCAAAATAAAGCAGAATTGCCCAGGCCACCCTGCAGACGCTGTCCTACCCCGTCCCCAGCTGCCAGGAGGTGATGCACTAAATACCCCGTGTGCACTGGGCAGCCTTGCTGTCCTCTAGTCATACCTCCAGGAAACAGTAAGGAAAGGCATATCAAAATTGGGCCTCCCTGATCCAATGCAGCGAGAGAGAAAGGAGACATCAGTTCAGGGTGAGATCTGTGGCTGTGTGTGGCTTTTTGGAGAAGGCGCTGGCCTTCCCCAAGGGATTCCTTGTTCACTGTCCCTGTGGGCTTTGATTCACAGACACGAAAGCCACACCTGGAGCCTGGAGCGGACGGAGAGCCTGACTTCCGATTCCCAGTCCGGGATCATGCTGTCCTCAGTGGGAACCAGTAAATGCAACAGCCCTGCCTGCGTGGAGGCGCGGGCCCGCCGCGGGGCTGCCTTCTGCATTGAGGACTCGCGGCGGCCCACAGCGCAGTACCGCGACTCGGTGGACTCACTGCGGGACTCACCGCACAGCGAGAGGTCAGAGCCCGTGCAGCCCTGCCCCTCTGTGCCAGGCACAAAGCTCCTGTGGTAGTGCAGGAGAAACCCTCGAAGAAGCCACGGCCCCAGGAGGCCGCTTTGGTAGGGCAGCAGTGTGTTTTGCACAGGTACCCCTGCTAAGCAGGAGGCCATGTAGGTTTCGTGCACAGGTTTGGGAGCAGCTGAAAATATCTTGTTACAGCTGGTGAATTAAATCTGGCTGGTTAAATCGGGTGGTGAGTACAGCCGAGGCCCTGGCAGAGGGGGAGGCAAATAGCTGGGACACAGCTCAAGCCAAGGCTGAGCCTCATCGTGATCCTTAGGGTGAGGAGCAAGTCCTCCAATACCTCTGGGCGGGATGGGGAACAGACATGCTGCTTGTCTGCAGCCTGGGGACGGGTTCAGTGTGACTCAGATCTGGGACACTGTCAGCCAGTGGCAGCTGTTCTCTTCGTGGGCCTGGCTCCTGCTGTTGCAGAAGCACATCTCCATGGTGCTGCAACCTGGGTGGCCATCTAACCAGTTCCAGGCATTTCCCCTCAAAACGGTGGGACTGGACTGGTCCAGCAAAGGCAAGCTGTTCTCTTGTTTCTTTTCCTGGTCCATTCAGATGGCCTGCAGACATCTCAGACTTCATGAGACATGAGGAGGGATAGGGAAACCCAGGGAGTGGGAGCAGGCTGAAATGAGTGGAGACAACGCACACTGGCTTTACTGAGTGAAAAACAAAACCGCTACTTAGAAGGAGGTGATGCCAAAGGAAAGCCTATACAGAGAGGGGCCAGACCACTGAGCCACCGTGCTCGTGTAAGTAGTGTAGATGAAGGCTTGTAGAGGCCTTTTGTATGGAAGATTTTTGCAAAGTTAGGTGAAGCAGTACCCAGACTTCAGCATGTGAAGACCTCTGGGGGCCCTTCCCTGGGTAAGCGTGACAGTTGCAGAGGGAGCAGAAGGCAACGTGGGCAACCAGTGGGTGGGAATTGTGATGTCCTGGGTAAGGCTCAGTCCTGATGGCCGTGCTGGGCTCGCCCCGAGCCCCCCCGGGGCTGTGGGCTGCTCAGTGTCCAATGGAGCTGTTCCTTTCTCAGGTACGTGTCAGCCCTGACCACACCAGCACGCCTGTCGCCCGTCGACTTCCACTACTCGATGGCGGCGCAGGTGCCCACCTTCGAGATCACCTCCCCCAACTCCGCGCACGCCGTCTCCCTGCCGCCAGCAGCCCCCATCAGCTTCCGCGTGGAGGAGCAGCAGCCCCTGCTGCGGCAGTACCAACTGCCCTTCCAGGACACGCAGCGCTACGACAGCTACTACCAAAGGAAGACCTACCTGAACGACAGCATGGGGAGCCTGCCCTCCAGCCCCTTCCGCATCACGGAGGACGACGAATACGAGACGACGCAGGAGTACGTCACAGCGCTAGAGCAGCCAAAGAAAACAGCCAGCAGCAACAGGCGGTGGAAAAAGTCCAAACTGAACGGGCACGTCCCCCACAGAGCCAGAGCTGTCCGGGACTCCTTCTCCTTCAGCAGCGCCTCTTACAGCGAGTCTGATGAGGAGCTGGTGGCCGAGAGCACGCCCTTCCTAAGCACTCAGAACAATGAGGCGACAAACACAGAGTCGCCGCCGCTCCACCGGCCGGGCGACAGCCGGACTCAGCACCCGTACAGCCGGCACAGCGCCCACGGTGGCAGCGGGCGCAGCAGCCTGGCGCACACGACGCCCAAACGAGAGCCCGACCCCCTCTAGGCGCCCGGCAGACGCACCGCACAGGGGAGGCGGCGGAGGGAGGCGGAACAAACACGAGACAAAAATAAATATTTTTATTTTATATAAAAGAGAAAAAAAATATAACAAATAAAATGTTTTATTTTCATTTTAGCAAAGTTGTCTTATAATAGCTAACGGCGATGACTTTTTTATAGGGAATCTCTATTTATATGTAATGTCTTGATTTACAGCTTCCGAGAAAAAAAAAAAAAAAAAGTAAAAAAAAAAAAAAAAAAGAAGAAACGAAAACAAACAATAAAGTTAAAAAAAAAAAAGGTGGGCCAATTTTTGACTACTTAAAAATAGAAACTAAAACTATCGTGGTGCCTTTTGCTGTATGCTAGTGCTGGGATTCATGCCGAGGATTCTGTTTCAGTAGCATTTTTAAGATCATAGATTTTTGTTTGGGAGACGACCTGTCACAAGGGTGCTCTTCCGTCGGAAGAAAACAGCCTCGCCACTCTGCCCCGTACCCTGCTATTAACGATCTTGTTCTTTAAGGTATTGTTTAACACACACCAAGGACATGAGTGGGAGCATTTCCATTACCATGTCTGATGGGGATCTGTCTTGCCCTGTAAAATACTTGTATTTTTGCTTAAATCGGGAGAAAAAGAAATCCAACAGCACCATCCCGAAATGCAGAAACGATGTTTCTTTTGCCGCACAGGTAGGAGGAGAAAATGAAACCGTGCAGCAGCAGCCCTTAACAAATAGCTCTCAATCTTTGGCTCTTTCCCGTGGATCCAAAGTTGGGTTGGCACAGATCGGTAGTCCAATGCGTGGGACGCTTGTGTGACTGCGGCGAGGCGCAGCCCCGTTCCGTACGGCTCGGCCCGCATCGCTGCGCCTGCCCTGGTGGATGGGCGGCAGCGCGGCGCACGGCGGTTCCGGTGCCGCCCAGGACCCGGTGCCGTGCTGCCCGCGGTGTCCCCATGGCCACGGTGCGGCGGTGGCCACGGTGCTGTGCGAGCTGCAGTGCTCCGTGCGCTGTGCTTGGAGCCACGCCTGGGAGCCGCTGGCCGTGCTGCCCTGGTGCCTGGCTCTGGCCCCGCTTGCAGAAGCTCGGAAGGGCAGCGGCCCCCTGGGGGCAGCCCAGCAAGGGGGTTCCTCTGTACCGCCGCGCCGTGCGTCGTGAAGGCGGTTGTTACCGTCACATCTTGCTCTTGGCGACGGACGTCGCGTTTCCAAACCCGGAGCAGCTCTGCCCGTTGGCTCTGTGGCGCGAAGAGACAGTCCTGTGTGTCCGGTGGCAGAACATCCCCGTGGAGGTGCCCCTCTCTCCTCAGTTCTCTGCACCAAACCTGTTTACATTGTAGCCTGACTTTTTTCTTTTTATATTTTTACTTCTGCATGTCCTTTGCATTTCAGATACTGTAGATTGGATGCATGGTGAAGCTGTGACTGAGAAGATAATACAACAATTGACAGTGTATTTCATTTAACTTTTAGCAATAAAGTAACTAAACCCTCTATTCCTCACCCATGATGGGATCAGATAGAAAACTCTGCTAATTTGTCATAAGATGATTGTCAAAGTTTGCTCTGGATTGTCTGAATGTCAGAACTCTAGACTGTTTAACACTTGAACATTTTTTATATTATAAATAAAATAAGAAATAACAATCTGTGGGCGGCATTGATCTAAGGCAATCTGGGGGCAGTGGGGGACTGTAGCAAGGGCCACGCACAGAACCCAGCTGCTGGGGCAGGCAGGGACCCCTGTCCAACCCCTATTCAGGTGTCTTCACCTGCAGACCGGGGGGTTCGTGCTGTGCTCCCATCCACAACCACATTTCTTCTTTAGATCTTGCAGGGCAAGGCTGGCTGGCTAGCTCCCATACAGGGCAACCCCAGGGAATACGGTGTGTTCATGGGAAGCACAATTCCTGAGGTCGTATCAGCCCGACAGGAGCGGGCAGAGAGCTCCTGACCCCGTCCAAGGCATGGGGGATGCCCCAGGGGGAGGATCCCCGTGGAAAACAGCCACAAAAAAGGGATAGGTGGGTCCTTTAGGGGGAGGTCTGTTACTGCCCCATTTTTTCAGGCCTCTGTGATGCTCAGTACCTATCAGAAGCTCTGAGCCATGGCAGACTCACGATTTCTTGCAGTGATTTCTTGCTCAGTGTGCCCCTTGCTTCCGTAATAGTGTTCTATATTTGGAGGCAGTTACGCTACCTCAATTTTCTCTCCTATTGCCTCTGAAGGAAGCCTGCATCTCTCTCCTTTATCCCTCGCTGCTCTATTATTAGAGCCCTCATCTCCAGCCACGTGTATTGCTAGGGTTTAGCCATAAATATTTTAGAGCAATTTTCACAGGTGGGGGGAGCCACTGGCACGTCCTGCCAGCGCTGCTCTGCGTGCACGATGCTGCCTCTCCCAGAGGGTGAAACTGCTTTGCAGATGCAGATGGGGTGACACAGGCAGCAGAGGAACATGGGGCCTTAGCTTTGGGATTGCAGAGCCTCTGGGCAAAGCCGTTGGCAGTGTGCCCTCTGGTAGGTAAGATGCTCAGCACAACGTAAAGGCATACACACTTGTGTATCAGGACAGTCATCAAGCACAGGTAAAACTCCTGGGCTGAGGGCTCTTCACCCCAGGGTGTCACATCCACTGGGTCAGGACCCCATAGCTCTGAGGCCCTTTCCTGGTGCTCAGAGAAGGCTTCGCCAGACCCTGCTCTTCTCTGCAACTTACTCCTGTCTGAGGATGGCAAAATGGCACTTTCAGCTTGAGGACTGAGTAGCTCTTGGTGGCTTCTTCAGGCACACCGGAGATGGCACTGCCTTTTGGAGGGGATGGCCAGAAAGGACAGGGTGAGGTACCAAATATTACCTGGGATTATGCACAGCAGGAGTTGGGCTTGAAGTTCCCCATGGCTCTCACTGAGTCAGAGGCATCTCCAGCACCAGCAGTGTCTTGGAGGTCTCCAGAACAAGGGATGCTGGCGCTTGTCTAACACAGCAAAGAGCGCAATGCGTTGGAGAAACAGCTCAGTGTTGGCAAGGGCTCCTCTGAGCACAGTATCCAAAGCATCTCCAACCGCTGGTGCAGATGTTGGCATCTTTCTCCTCCCCAAAACCTCCAGGCTGTGCGGGGACAGACAGACCAGGGATGGGCCAGACTAGAGGATGAGTTACCTGAACGTTGCTAGAGCAGCCATCTGCCTCACCAGCTCCACTGCTGAGCCATCCAGCCACAGCATGAGCATCCAAAGCACGGATGTGCAACGCTCCACTTGTAGAAAGGCACTGCTGCTTTCTGGTGCTGTCCATAGGGGCTCAGCTTCCTCTTTGCAGGAGCTGATGGAGACCTGTGTGCATGTGGCCATCTAGGACCCACAAAGCCTGGGACCAATCCAGCACACACTGGAACCACATTTCAAACCAATTCTCTTTACCAACAGATTCAGCTTTATTGTTATTCTTTTTAACATGATTCTTAGTGCATCATTTCAAATAAACTACCAAACTGTACAAAGAAACGGAGAGATAAAAGAAGAGGTGATAAAATTGGGTGGAGGTTTTTAGTAGTAAGAGCCATCATGGAAAACAGTAGTCCATAGGCTCTCCATTGTTGAAGATCCAAATAAATCTTGTTTTCTTTGTTTAAACAGTGCTGCAAAATATTAACAATAAATGACTGTAGTTAGCAGCTACAGGATCCTTCAAAACTGGAGCTTGGTTAACACCTAGGGGAAAGAAAAGCAATCTGAGATAAAGGACAAAACCAAACAGCAAAATAAATAAACAAGGTGTGGGAGGACAGTTGTGGCACTGAAATGCAGTGGAATCATTTCCAGTACGACGGTAAATCATTGAACCACAGGCAGCAGAAAGGAATGGAAACACAAGCCCCCCTTGAAAAGAGCATAGCATATGGATCGCAGAATGGAGGAAGTACGACACTGATGGGCAGTCAGAACTGCTCCCGCACACAAAGGTTCAGCTGGACCTGAAGCATGGCTCCCACCACGCCTCGAACCCAAAGCTGTGGACGGTCAATAGCCACTTGGCCACTCTGTCTGAACAAGCAGGAACAGGAGAGCGCTGTTTCGCAGCAAAGCTAGGTGGGATTTCCATCTGAGTGGGAAAAAAAAGGAAAAAAAGAAACCAAAAGCAAATGTAGGCTACTGGATTTTTGCAGATGTCCAGATGGACTGTTCAGGCTCTCCATGGTCCCCAGTGTCTTCTCCGGGCAGCTTAACTTCTCTTGCACACTGAGGTTAAAAACCCACATTAAAGTCTCCTTATATATATATATATATCTATTTATATATATATTCATATGTATATATATTTATATATATATAAAAAGGATAAGGTGACAGAGGGCACTTCAGGTCTCTCCTGCCGTGGGCAGGTGCCTTTCCCACGCGCTGTGCTGGAGATGCCTCTCGCGTGGTCAGTGACTATCTCACAGAACGACCCCGCTGTGATGCGTCCTGCCGAGCACTGAGCTGCTCTAGGCGCAGGGACGCGCTCCTGCTGCTCTGAGCCCTGCTCCCACAGCACTGCTGCTGCCACAGAGCCCGATGTGTCGGCCGAGTTTCTGCGCTGCTGGGAACTGCAGACGTGAACCGGTGGAAACTCCAGGGAGGAGGAAGGAGGGCTGGTGGGAGAGAGCAACCGGGCCCTGGAGAATAAACGTGTCCCTTTATTGTGCAGGCTGCGGTAAGAGGGAAAGAAAAGCCACTGGTGCTGTTGGGGACAAAGAAGAGATGGAGTATCTATGATGCTGAAATGCCAGAGCGTTGCCAAGGAGTGTCAACTAAAGCTTCTTTGACTTCTTTCACTAGAGCAGTCACCGTGTCATACACTTCTATGGTTTTGTTTGTATGATTTCCTAGATAAAATTGTGCTCATTGATCTAGTCCAGGAGCGCAAAGCACCGCCGGTTCATTCCCCCTGCATGCACGTTCCTTGTTAAGTGTTCTGCTCTATTATGTCCTTTTCCACCTTACAGCTAACAGACATATGCCCTTGGCTCAGAGAAGGGCTGGAATGCGTCTTCCGCAAAGCAATGTCGTCAGCTTCCACCTTGAAGAAGCTGGTTTC